GTGTCAAGTCTCCAAAACGAGCGTTTCGTACGAGACTTCCTCCAAAACTCACATGTCAAAGTCTGCAAAACGAGGATTTCGTACGAGACTTCCTCCAAAAGTCAAGCGGAAACACCCATCGGAGCACACACATCACGCAGCCCTGCCAAGCAGTTTCGCGAGTCCAGCCCCGCCAAACAACACCCGCTCACACGCCAATCCCAATGTGACAGCGACATTCACCTCTACCACAACTCACGACCTCACGATTCCCTGCGCCTGCCACGAATCTCTCCGCATCCACACGTCTAACGCGCACAAAGTACTGCGCCTGCCACGAAATGTCAACTCCGTCACACCTCGCAACCTCACGATTTCCTGCGCCTGCCACGAAAATCGCACTTCCACACCTCAAAATCAGCACAAAGTACTGTGCCTGCCACGAAAAGTGAGAATATCATCTCACGTGAGCTTCAACAAAATTTGCACCACACCACACGTTTAGAATGATTTCGACCCGTTCTGAGCACACTCCCATCCACGAAAATCGCCATTTCAGCTGAGACTTGTCACGAAAACAGAGCTTCGATGCCACACCCTGAAATGCAAATCCCAATGGCACGGCCACATCCAACACCCCAAAAACACGACTCTCCAAACGCTAATCCCAATGGAACTGCGCAGTAAACTGCGGATCTCTCAAACCACTGCGCCTGTGCAGCGAAATGCATCACGCTTCTTGCGCGACATGTCATTTTCATGCAAATCACAATGGAATAGCGTCGCAAACTGACACGTGACACATCCATGAAAAGTCACTTGCAAAAGCTTCCCCCAATGGCAGCGCCTTAGCGTCCTACTGCGAACGGTTGCGGACGGTTGCGGACGGTTGCGAACGGTTGCGAACGGTTGCGAACGGTTGCGAACGGTTGCGGACGGTTGCGAACATAGAAACAACGGATCGCGAACAAGACTCTACCCCCAGACCCCCAGAGTTAAACGAGAACCCTTCGCTACGCATTCGGGAAAAAGGGAGACCTCTCAAGGACCCCCTGGACAATGGACAATAGTGGTCTCCCTATTTTAGAAAAACACACCACAATGCAACAAATCAAAAGCACTTGGCACTTTGAGTCACACCAGCGAGCCAAATGCGTCAAGGGCACAAAAACAAGGCCCATCACAGCGGAGTGCCTTTCCTTAGAATGCAACCAACCTACTAGCGATCGCCTCCAACCTACTAACATCTACTAACTAATGATAGAAGGGACCTCACATCTGACATGACAACAGTTGGGGCTTGTACCAGTGGGACTGAAGCTTCTCTCCAGCTGACCTCTTTGCGGAAGCCCAAACGACGCTGGTTCTCTGAGAAAACTAAATGATTCAATTCAGGCCGTCCGTCTTTGCTGACACCGAACACTGTGCAGTTGCCATCAAAGACTTTCAGGCACAAATCGAGTTTAAGGCGGTGCATCCAAGCTCAATACTCCACTTGTGATGGATTGGTACAAGGACATCACCTTAGATGTGAGCCGTCCCGCTTGGACCATCTTTTCGCCAACCCTCCTCGGAGCCCTGCAGATCGCATGAGAGAGCCATAAAACCTGGGGTCGTCCGCTCGACCGCAGGTAGGCGCGATTTCGGCCCCGGGCACTGAGAATCGCGCTCAAAGGTGTCAGTTCCCTCCTGCAAGAGTTGAGGCCTCCGGTGTTGACACATGTGAATACATGTGACCCATTGTGACAATAGGTATCAAGTCTCATTGTGCTGGCAAAGCTTTGCAAATGGAAGCTATAAGCGATTCTTCGAGGAACTTTAAGATGATTTCGCGCTAAAAGGAACCAACATGCAGAATCTCAGGATAGATTACAATCTGACTTTGTGGGGTTCGTTTGCTTGGCTTGCTCGATTGTAAGTTGCGGACGACTCCGTCGCAACATCAGCAACCACTTGAGTGAAGCAAATGCCCACGACAAAAATCCTTGGATGTACAACGAACGCGGAAGATGTCTGGAAAGACCCTTATTGGAATGCATTGACAGCATAATTTGTTTTGCAAGCTGAGAAGAGGACAAGAGAAGCAACAACACCACCGTCCACAACAAGGAAGTCATCCTTGCGTAGAGCCCAAAAAACAACAACAGTGACACATTACACAAGAGTTTCAAGACAAGCATTGGATCCTGAAATATCGAGGACAGTTACGACCTTTTTTGTGCAGTTGTGCAGCCAAAATGCGTTGATGCAATGGATTCTACCAAGGTCCTTCGGCACGGGAAGTGGAAGCACAATGTAAATTCTTTCAAACGCGGAACAGTATCGGACGTCTTTTCGTACACAACGAAAGGCAAACATACATATCCAACACGACAAGTTGCATTTATTTATGATATTTATGACTTTTGTGTGTCTTGCAACTTGCAGGATTTGCTTCCTGAACTTGCTATCTGCAAACTGTGACAACAGCGTGAGTCCTAAGTTCGCGGATGAGACGGAGCACTCTAACCTGGATGGGCAATCTGCTGCGAAGCAAGTGACTGACCCCAAATAAGTGAAAAGAATTCAAAGAAGAATTCTGGCAATATCTGGCAATAATGCAGTGAACAGCTTCTGTCATCTTTGAAGCATCTTGGCCACCATAAGCGAGGGCCGCAAGTTCGAACCACGCACGCGCACCCCCAGACCGGCTCTGAACGCACATGCCAGCGTTGCCAGCCGGACAATTCGGACCAAGCCTTCACAGATTGGCTTCATGTCCACCGCCCAATGCAAGCTGTCTCACAGATCACTAGGTGCCCACACGGAGAACCCGCAAAATGCGCATAAAGCTCAGGTTCACGGTTCTGGACCTGGCCACACTCGGAGCTGTCAGCAACATGACGCCTTTTGTCCAGCTGTCAGCTGTGACGCTCCGCAGGACTCAGCGCTGTGCGTGCTATCGGTGTAGACCTGAGAACCGTGCTATCGAAGGCCCCCTCCCAACGTCGTAGTCGGCCACGGCGGCGAACCGAGGAACCCACCACAGCCGTCACGACCTCTTCACCTGCAGTTCGATCAGATCTCGTTCCTTTTGCCCTAAGAGTCTGGAATCAACGGAACTGAGTGCCACACTGATCTGAAGGAAAACCAGTGTGAAATCAAAGATATTCCATTTCCACCTGAACAAAACGACATCGGACATCCATGGGGCTTACAAAACGTCCTCCCAAACTCTCTGATTCCAAAACCCGTTGGCTTTCGCAGTCGCTTCGTACTCAGGTCCTTACCCGGGCTTGGTGAAGAAGTCCAAGCGGAAAGCGAAGATTCTCAACACCTATAGTAGGTGTCGTTTTGTTTTTTTGTGCCCGAACCAACAAATACTCTTCACTGGGAAGATCCGTCAAAAGAGGGGGACCTACAGGTCTGCACCCTCATTCTTAGGTGAAGTCATCTTCAGTTCTGTCAGATCTGTGCCTCTACTTGAGAGGAGTGCAGTCTATCCTCTTGTCTTCAGAGGCCCTCACCAATTCCACAGTGAAAATGACGCCAAGGACAACCGCCACCTCAGCATGACCGGCAAAACTCCGGAGCAAACCTACATCTATGATCTCAAATTGTCATCCGAATCCAAAGGCGAACGCACCTTGTCTCTTGCAATAGCATGAATGGTGGCAACAATTCGCAGGCTAAGGCCGCTTAGACTGTGTGGCAAGTACTCCTGATTTAGTTGCCTCCATTCAATTTGGTTCCAATCATCTCCAAGCAAACAAATACTATATCTTTATCCTTTATCAAAATCGTTACACCCTCCAACACTTCCGGTTCCTACCAGCTCTTGCAGAATACTCCTACCAAGCATAGCTTACAAGAATGACTTTCGAACGCGCCCTGCCCGAAACACAATGCGAGCCCCCCTGCGCACCAAAACCGCTGATCGAGGCGGCACTTTTGAAGCATGAACATGGTGTGTCAAATTTCAGGTCATTAGTTTCACCATGTTCCAACATTCTTCACCACTCTCCCAACACTTCCGGCTTGCAACTCCAAAAAACTCACACCAAATTCTCCCACTCAAGTCTCCTTTCAAAGGCCTAACCTCTCTGTCTCGTCGTCTCCCAACCGCGTCCTTCTCCGCTTCTCCGAGCCGCTGCACGCACCGCCGGCGGCTCCAACTCGCCGGTGCGTGCGCTGTGCACCTCGGGAGGTCGGTGCCGGCAAAACGGCCGCGGCGCCGGCGAACGGCAGCTGGGCAGTCGGACGGCCAGATCTGCTTGGACTCCCATCCTGGAAAGGGAGAGAAGCTTCAGCTTGGGGGGAGGAGTTTGGATGGAAAGAAGTCGCTCCGGAGTTTGGATAGATCGCAAACAGTAATTACAATAGAAAGTGTGTTGTCTTGTGTTCATCTGTCAAGTGAAACCTCCATCATGCATCACGCATCGACTAAGTATTTCTTCTTAGTGCCAAGCAGGATTGCATTGGCCAAAATCGCCAAACCTTGCATAACATAGCATTTCTTCTGCGTGCCCTGATGCTTCTATCAAGTCCTCATTGTGGATGCTTGGCTGGTTGGGTATGTAATGGTATGTAGAACTGTGGCTCTGGCCCATGATGTAATCAAACGCTTCCAATCTGACCTGGACACAGCATCTCTTGTTTTCCTCCATTTTTCCTGAAGAACCGCACAAGACACACAGCCAAGACTGTCGGCCGACCAGCCATAGGCACTTCTGTTGAAGGAAGTTGCACCGAGAAAAGCCTCGCGAAGCAGGTTGGCTCGCTTCCGGGGTCCTCCCTGATGTTGTAAACAAGTCAGAACTCCAAAAGAACTGAATAAAACAAGAAAGGGCGGCAAGAAGGTAAGGGGCGCCCTGTTAAAAGGGGGCCCTTACCGGCCCTTACTTTCTTATTGTCCTTCCTTTGTGATTCGCTCCGACGTCCAATCGCCTACGCTCCGAAACGATCGAGCCCACGGGGCTCCCACTGGACTTGGACGATGATGTGGGGCTCTCCGGAGTCTCAGCAGTTCCTCTGACTTCGCACGGCATGGCTCCGTCTGCACCAGGGGTGTGAAACGGTTTATCCGAAAAACCCGACATGGTCGGTCGAAACCAGCATGGCCCCCAAGGAGTTCGGAGGATCATGCAATTTTCTGCAAAAAGGTGGTGAACTCACTCCACTTCCATGATGAATCCAGGGAGTGTATCTTGAAAGCATCCTGGAACGTGCTGTCCTGCTTCTTCTGGAGCGTATCTTGATATATGATGCCTCAGCGAAAGAGAGGAATGCAGGTGGGATAATCGACTACCACGTCACAAAGACATGGCGTTTTAGGTCAGTCACCCCCCCTCAACGTCACAAAGCAATGGGGGCAAAGCCCCGAGTCATGACTGGGGACCAGTCCATGGGGGACCGCCTCCCACCCATACCAGATTTTGCAAGGTGTCTGTTTCTTCTCTTTCTGTTCTTTCTTGTACATTCCCAATTTTCCTACAACACTGTTACAACTTGTTATAAGTTGTAATATATACATATGTATATATATATATACATATTTGTTCAATCCCTCTTGCCATGGAAACCCTCTTGTTTGGGATAATTTGGCCCTCAGTCAGAAACTACACCGGGCATAGGACATTTTTGGTTTGAACACTGGAACATGCTGTTTTTCTTTGCTCTAGGTGGATGAGCAACAGTCTAGGCATGTCTAGACGTTTGCATCACTATCGACTATCGCCACCCTTTCATATCAGGCCATCTTCCACAACAAACTTTCAACTTCCTGCCAGAATGCAGGAAGCGTACGTCTGAATGAGTAACTCGCAAAGAAAAACGCGCCCGCCCTTTCAGCTGCATGAGACATGGCGACTCGTCTACTTACATAGCAAGAGAGGTTCAGGTCTACTGAGCCTGCAAACACGAAAATGCTTCTCGGCTCGCTCATCGCCCTGGAGTCCCTTTTATCCTTCTTGTTACCTGAACGAAGGGCCAGTTTGCAGGGCGAACCAGAACCGAAGCCACAAACCCACACAACCCAAACGCCAACCCCTGCGGCCCTACGTCGCACAAGCAGCCACTCAGCCACGAAGCTCATGCTACTCATATCCAGAATCGCCGCACGAGATACACATATACTGTTAGTTGAGCATTCTGATGCAGAAATCTCGGTCAATCTGGAACAAGCACGATTTCAGTGATAGGGACCGGTGACTGTGTTCAAGGCATGGGTAAAAGGCAAGCTATCCAAAAGCAAAAAGCCTAGGGATCGGCACTAACCCTCATAACTTCCAAAGCCTCCACAAGGGTGAGGCTTTCCCCAAGTCACTAAGTCAAAGGCCAGTAGTCTCCATTACAGGCCAGCAGTCTCAGCCCTCCTTCGACGTGTTCGGCGCCTTGGACGGCTAGCTCCCTCCCTCCCCGGCCCTGGCCTGCATCGGGTGGTGCATCTGGCACAACTTTGAGATTCTCTGGTTCGCCTCAAAACGCTCAGCTGGAGAAGCTGGAGTCCTTCCGAACTCGTCGATGGCACCAGTAGGTACTTGTTCAACTGGTGAGAGGAAGTCGGAGGGTCGACCGGAATTCACCACAAAAACACAAACACCTGGGCACCTTCCTTATGTTTTCCAGACCACAAAACTCTCTCTTCGAGAGAGAGAGAGAGTAGAGCAAGCCTGCCCAAGCATGAAGGCCCTTGCCGTGTTTTTCAAGCTTGCTGAAATGGTGCTGGATGCTACCAGTATTCCGGAAAGGGATCAGCCACCATACAGTAACAATGGGTCTTCGTTCCCGTTGAGCAGGTCGACTGCCACCGCCACCGTTCTCTTGGCCAGGGGGGGTCTCCTTATGAAAAAGACACACGCATGGGTGCATATTAAAATTGGGAGCCCCCAAGACCCTCCCGGGTCTTAAGACGAAGTACACCAAAACCATCCAAAACCCATGGGTTGGGGATCTCCCTATTGACGACATACACCACCCATGAACCAACAACTCGCCGAAACCGTGCGGCGACCGAGACATTGATGTGTCCAGCTGACCTTCGTCCACTTCATCCAGCGTTCCAACCTCGCGTTTCGCAGCTTCTGCGAAGAGAAAAGGAGGAGCTTCTGCGTTTTCGTTTCAGAAGTCCGAAAACACCGTCCAGCAACATGGAAACACGTCTTGAAGCTGCTTGAAACTGCATCATGTCCAGCCAACGTCATGAACCAAGAATTCAGTCTTCAGCTGCAAAGCACTGAGTTCGGATCATCAATCGCACTGCTCGCAGAGCGGGAAAACGCAAAACCTGGAGACACCACATACAAGTGGATGTTTCAAGTAAAGAAACAAAAGGCAGGACTAGAGACAAAGCAACTGCGAACTAATCAATGTTTGCAGCAAAACTGCAAAACTCCCAAACATACCCACCTCGTCCTGTCCTGAGTACACAAGGTCTACTGATGTCCACTGTCCAGTCCAAGCAAGTGAATGTGGTGCCAGTGTTTCTTCGCTAAGCACTTTGCTGACTTTTCGGCGTGCCAATCAGGGTCATGCTTCCAGTTGCAACAGGACCACCAATACCTACAGTACAAGCCATGGCGCATGGCCAACGCCGCGCATCCGCGACCCCAACTGTTCCGAACCCGTTTCGGTACGAAGAGTGAGCACCGAAGACCACGTTGACTGCGGTGGTGCCGCTTCGCAGGATCACGCGGAAGGACCGGCTGACAGTTTCAGCGGGTCTTCGAACAATGTGACAGACCCTGCCGACCAAAATTCTATAGAGAAAAAACAACAAATATATAAGTAATTACATCAACCCATCTGACTTAAAGCAAGTTCTGACTCCCTTTTGCCCTGCAGAAAGTCTGCTTGATGTCGCGAGTCGGTGAGGTTCGAGCCCTTTTTCACGGATATTTCTCTCGGTCTGAGGTTCGAGCCTTCAGTGCTCACGTAAGTACCTGCGAAACACAAAGGAAAGGCAGACAAATTCACATCCAAAAAAAACATAATCTAAAAAACAATAAGTCTCGACACACACATATATATATATATGATTTATAATGCCCCTTGGGATTTGAGAATACCATCTTGTATCATCTTGGGTATGATGGTTTCATCTATCATCTAACCATGGGACCTGCAGCTTGGCATTCCCTTCTGCGCACGTGCTTTCATGCGCATCCGAGCAATATCTCGCCTCGGTCCCAGGGGCGGTGGCGCCGCTTGACTCGCGCCGCTTGACTCACATGGCCGTTGTCAGCTGAGGCCGCAACTCATCGTTCATCCTTGAGCTGGGGCTGTACACTACTCAAACTGAATGCAGCTCGAAAACATTCAAACACTTATTCAAGGTTGCTCCAGTTACTCCTTGGACAATGCCTTCACCCAATCCTTTAGCCAGCTACGTCATGCGACTTCTCAGCTCCAAGCGAGACTGCCATGGGTGTGGACGTCGAAAGAGTGGGGGAGTATGGCAGCTGTGGTGGCAGCTGTGGCGACGCCTAGCAGCTGTGAATGAGTCACCGTTCGGCGCGCGACACCGAAAGAAGGCACAGAAACATGTCTTCACAGCTTTGGATGAATTCACTAATCATTTAATCCTTACAAACATCTACAACCAACAAACGCCAAAGAACCTTCTGACCGTCATCCATCCAAAAGCCCTCAGAGAGGCCCAGTCCAGCCACGGTTCCGCCGCTCCGCCTCTTTGGCTCTTGGAGACAGGGCATTGGACTCCTGGCCGTCGGACGAACAACGGGAGGAAGCTCGGGAAAGCGAAGGAAAGCTCGGACTGCGGACTGCGGACGGCGAGCGAAAATACCTCTTCGAACAGCTAGCGGTGTTTTCCCCAAAGCGGGAAGGAGTGGGCTCCTCTTCCTTCTTGCGCCAGGCAAGATGCTTTGGCTGCTCCAACCAATGTGACAGGGCACTTGATAGCTCCTGAGCGTTTTTTGTATGCGTTTTTTTCCGCACGCCAGACAAAGAACAACTAGAACAAGAACTGAGTTCGACCTGACTGACAAAGGTCTGTCAAGCGGGGTGCCTCATCGAAACATCTGGTGCTTCGCCGCCCTCTTTTGCCGGGTTTTAATCGCGGGGTTTTGCGATGAGCACCCACAAATCGGCTGTTTTCAACAGTCGGGTGCATGAGCATTGTGCTCTTGGTCACGAGGAGCTCCAACTCACTCATTTAGAGCAACAACACCTTGATTTTAAGGGCCGAAAAGGGTCAGGTTTGAATGGACAGTTGGCCTTCTCGTTGGTCAATCAGACTCAAGGAGTGCATCCGAGAGAGCACCTGTGGCTAATTGCTACGGCTCTTTTTGGAAGCCGCACATGCCTGCAACCATTCACCGCGGCAAACGGGCCAAATTCCAACTTCACCAACGGCATTTGTTGAAGCTGTGCCTGGTATCATGACAACTAGAACCAAAGGTAATACAAATAAGCAGCGGCAGCAGCAGCAACATTGTAAAGTACTGTGGCCCAGTAGAGGCTTAAAAAGCTCTCCACGCGAAAAAACCATCGGGAACAGTTAACGGGGCACGAAGAGCATTCGGCATGAATGCCAAAGGCCACTTAACACAACTCGGAACTGCATCATCTATGTCATATTATGCTATCTTGTCATGTATCATTCCTGAAAGCTAGTAAACTCAAAGTACATAATTCAGTGGAAAACCATCGTCTGTTTCCAGCGTCACCCATGCTGCCAATGGCTTCAGCCCGCTTCATTTGTTCAGAGACTGCGGCAGCAAGTTTGTCTGCCGTGAGGACGGCCGTGTCCGGATGGGCCGTGGCATCAAGTGCCCTGACTATTCACGTAGACCGCCCTCGGTCGAGCGGTCGGGTCGCGGTCGGGTCGTCCGGGGTGGATCGGTTTGATTGGACCTTTCGAAGAACTCGACCACAAAGCATCGACGTGAATGAGGGAGGGTTGTAAGGGAGGGTTGTAAGAGTGAGTGTTTTAACTTTTTGAGGGAGGGTTGTAAGCATCTATATCATGAATCTAATGTCTAATGGGGAAAAAACATCGCCACATGGGGGGTTATCAAAAGTCAACTCCTGGCAATAATCATGCTCCAGGGTAGTTCACCTACTTGTTGGTACAGGGAAATTGTACAATGCAAGGGGCTTGTCACCTCCTTCCACGTCCCCACGTCACCATGATGATTTCGGGGAGTGTATGTTTCTCAGAGACCCAACTGGCGTCCCGCCACGGACTCTTCCGGAACGTCCCCGTCCCACGGGTCGTGGGGCGTATCGAGTTTGTGTCTCTGGGAAGATGCGGAGCGGGGCAGGGGGGGCAGGGGATGAAAAATGACCCCGGTCTTTTTGAAGTCTTCCAAATCCAGGGAACATGCTAACACTCCTACTCATCTATATGGAACTGATAAATGTACTATACAATTTACCGACCAGGTGTTTTCTCCGCCAACCATCCCTCAGCGGTCAGCTTCTTTCGGTCGCTTTTCATCCCAAGCTTCGATCGACGTGTGGGCTCCACCAGCTGCGGGCCGGAATCGAACAACGTGCCATCGGACATCATCACCGAGAGCTGACGATGGCGCTCGCGATCAAAGTTGAACCTGCCGATCGAGAGAATGGACAGAGAAGGCGGATGGAATCAGGTTGGGCGCGGGCTGGGGAGAGAGCTCCCCTGCGACAGGATGGCCAGAAGCAAATGGAAAACAACTGGATGACAGAAGCAAACTGGCCACAAAAGATTTTTGGGCAGCGGTCGATGGTTCCTGAAAACATGTCAGACGTCTCTAAAATATGTGGTGTCTCGTATGTCTCTCGCTTGAGGAGGCTATGCGATCCGTACAGCCCTCTTCTTGCACTTCCGTGGTTTCGGGTCAAACCGGGTCCGGACCGGCCATGGAATCCCCGGTGACCGGTCCTTGCTGGACCCCTAGACCCCCCGGCCGCACAGGCCGAGGTCCCGCCCCCCCGAATTCTGCTAGGACTCCAGCTCCTGAGCTCTTTGCTCATGGTTGGGTTTCCTTGTTTCTCCTTTCTGGCATGTTCTGGCTGCTTCTGTTGTTTCATCCATGTTGTCTTGGTCCATTTTTCCGATGATGGTTCCTTTGTTTGTTCAATTGTGTTCCTATTGTTGGTCCTATATTGAATATTCTATATATTGATCACACCCAGTGGAAGCTTAACTTCCTCAATGTGCGTTAAAATAGGGATACCCCCCAACACCCCCTGGAAGAAGGAAAGATAGACCCAAACCCATTGGTTGGGGTTCTCCATATTAAACTACACACCCATCATATAGATTATAAGTGTCTTGAATCCAACGACACTTGCGGGCATACAGCTGTGTGAAAGATTTTGAACTGGAGTCTTCCAGTGTCACTCTCTGTGTGTGTGTGTGCGTGCGATAGCTCACCATCAAACAGTTCCTCCAGCATCCTACAGCTATGTGTCTATCCGTCCAGCATTCCAAAAGCACCTCCTGCGCAACTATCGCCACACTGTTACGTTAATTGCAAAAGGCAAAACCGCCTTGGAGGCCGCTGCGCGTGCGGGTTCATCCTCGGCAGGTGCAAGACTAGTAGCACTGCAACTCCACTGCCAGCGATTTGGCTCGGTGTCAGCTGCACTCTGAGATATATTCTGGCGGGCATTCACCGAAGCTCATGAAGAGCGTCTACCAATCTGCTTGAGTGCTTGCTTCTGAAACCGAGGCTGCCACAGGGCTCGCAAGCTGTTGTTCCTCAGCTAGGCTGAAAATGCATGAGTTGACAGCTGCCACAACATCTGTTGTTCACAGCAGTTCTTCCACAAATTCTTTCGCAGCTGCCACAGCAAGAGTCTAAGCAAACTCACGTCTTATATAACGGCAGCTGCCAAGGCTCCAGTCCATCTGCATCTGCTGCATTGGCAAGTCATTTGGCTCAGAACCAAAGGGCGATTCCAACTGAAGTGCTATGAAATTCTGACCCCACCTCAAATGTGCACAGGCAATGTCAGAACAACAATAGGTTCAATGATTCAATGTGTGTTTTGTTCAATGCAGAACCGTTGCACTCCGGCCAACTGTTTGCAGCAAGGGTGCAAGAAGCAGATCACTACAAAGGACACGATCGTTGCGAGCATTCTGCTCAGCAACATGCTACAAAGAACCTCACATGTCGAACCGAATTGTTTCCACGGAGCAAAGAGACAGCGCAGCCTTTGAAGAACTGCCGCGGGAACTGCCAAGGGGCTGGAACCGCGCCCCAATGCAAACAAAGCATCACGATGCCTTGATTGGAAAGGCAAGAAGAGAATGCGAGGGACGTTACGTGACGTTACTGGGTTGTACATTGTTCACAGTCCTGACTCCACAAGTCGTGGTGGCGTCCTGACTCCACAAGCACGCTAATGCATACTTGTATGCCACTTCTGCACGGCAATGAAGGATCAAGAGTCACAGGAGGCACATGACTGAGCCTTTGAAACACTGGAGAAGGCAAATATATAGATTGAAATTGTTGTACAAACAACAAGCAAAATAATGTGTCAGAAAATGAAGCTGCATCAAAAGGCAATCAAAGCTGCAACATGCTGCAACAGTGTGGAGAAAAAAAGGAAATCGGTGTGACTCACCATGTGTATACAGCACATTTTGTATGTTGTGTCCCAATATGTTGTGTCCCAGTCCATCAAACTGCTGGACATGACGCTCGAAACCCACTGATGGAACTGCCTCTGAGTGGGTCTGGAGTCTGGACAAAGATTGCATCAAAGAACCCCACCACCGCGGTTCCCAAAATCGTGGTGCTGTTTGAGAAGATCCGTTTGATCTTGCTTCGTACCTCCCTCACAGAAGGCCAACAGTATGATTTTCGGGTTTTTGGGAGATTCCCATGCGCAGCGTTGGCTCGCGGTCGGCCAGCATCACCGGTCGCGTGTCTTTGTCATCAGCCAAGAGCCGGTGCCCCACTGACAAATTGAATGCAGCTCAAGTTGCTTGCTTGCGCAAATGGAAAAGGGAACGGAAAGTCGGCGATTTTTCCTTGGAAGATCGACGCGTTCGGCCATGTTCAAGACACCCCAATGGTTCTTTTTCCAGGTCAATACCCTGATGTTTTTCAGGCAAACTGCAAGGAAAACGTGGAAAACATCATCTACCTGAATCTACCTAGACATATTCACTTTAGCCGCAGCCATCCGCAGCCTGTGTTTCAGGTCATTTTTGCCAACCTCTCTCATCTGCACTGTTGCTGAGCTCGCTGCGAGCATTCTGCAAGTTCACGATCCCTCGTGAGAGCTCTTGATATGCACGAGTAACCACAGGGGGTGCCACAATGATCACCCCATTCTGCATACTCAACCTGGCAAAAAGATCAGGAAAAATTGATCATATCAAGTCTCCAAGTCTCTTTACTACGTACAAATGGGATGGGAAACAACTTGCTGAAGAAATTCCTGAGAACGGATCTGCATGTGTGATCTGCCCGGGTTTCTGCCCCTCTCATTGCTCATTGAATCATATTGCTCTCAGCTCTCAGCATTCTCAGCCCAGTGTTTCCAGAAAACGACCACAAGCTGGTGGCAGTTCAAAAGAAAAAAAGAAACCACACGGACCGTCACGCATGGACGAGAAAACACCTGCGAGCAACGAGAAAACACACCTGCGAGACAGCACACGTGGCGTCTGCACGCGCAGCAAACCACGCAACCGGATCGGGGTGACCAGGCAGTCACATGCGCCATCCCACTTCATGCAAGTCACGTTATCAGTCTCTGGATCCACTGCAGGATGACCTCAACCTGTCGCACCAGGAACTTCTTTCAGCTGCGTTCATGCTTCGTGGAAAGTGCTACGAAAGTAGCCCCCTCTCAATGTGTTATTAAATGTCTTTTGGATCAGTGAGAATCCCCTCTCCATTCTACATGAACGATTCGCTCAAAACTCGTCATCCGTCCGCCTTGTCGGTCGTTTTGGCCAGCATTCTGAGGCTGTCTGGATCGACCCCATCGGGTGACAAGATCTCAAACGGCCTCTCCGATCGGCCGGCGCCCGTGCCGAGTAACGTACTTGATACCGGGCCGGTGGCCGAAAACAGACGTAGAAACAATTGACAAGACTATATAGTTTTGTTTGGGTGGAGCCACAAAAACCCACTTGGAGGGAAGCAGGTCGGACAAACCATGCAGCAGTCTTGCTGATTCATCCACTGGATTCACTGACAAGTTGTTGAAGAAGATCTGCCTTGGGAGGAACCGCCTTCTGGTAGCTATACTTAGTTGGTAGCCTAGCAGTCACGAGCCTGTCTCGATCTGGAGAAACTTGCTGTAGTGCACAGCAATACAGCATGCTCATGAGTCTAACCTTGGCACCGGACGTGTCATCGAACGAAACCTCCGTCCACCCACCATCATGCTGGATCGGATCGGAAGCACTCGTCGTGGGACGTCCCCAGTTGTGATGCGACTGACTACATCAGAACGAAAGCAGTGCGACTGTGTCGACTACATAAGAGATGTAGAGAAAATACCTGTAGAAGACCTGTAGAATCAGATACTAGCTGTAGAGGTATCTCTCATTGTAGAGAAGATACAGAAGCCCGGTCTGAGAATGACTCTAGTCACTCGAGTCAGACCAAAGTTGCAAGGTACAAATCTAGGGATGTGTAACCTTGTCCTGCATTATGTCTCTACCTGGGTACGGTGGTATACCTCTGTCTTTGTGAATTATTGATCACTGATTTTGGGTGGGGGAAGGCTCATGCAAATATACAATATAAGTCTTCATGCAATATCAAACTATTTGCAAAAGAGGTGGGTAGGGGCACCCCTGTGAGATTTTTGCTTGAGAATGTAGAATTCAATAATTTTGTTCATGAGTAGGTCAGCTTCTTCCAAGCATCAAATTAATGCAAAATCCTTTTTCACGCTACAGAGGTCAGACATCGTTAGACGCAAACCCAAAAGCATCTGCTCTTGAGACGAAAAGGTCCTCAAAATGCAATTATTTTTGTTGGTCGTTGGTGTTGCGTTGCGCGCACCACCCACACAGCTGACATACTTTCCAGATTGGACTAACGAACGGTTGTTTCTTTATTTATATGTTGTTCTTTTTGGCAGGATCATTATACAATATTGAGGTGGCACCCCAGCCCCCCTACCCCATTCTACAATGTCTTTACCATACCAGGTGGGATTATTTTCTTCATAAGTCATTCATAATTATTTTAAGGCAGGGGGGCCTAATCATTTTGAGGTTGGGGGTACCTCAGTGGGCACCCTGACTATTGAGTAAATGCAAATGATTTCGGGGGCACCGATATGTCATAACTACATACAACTACCTACCGGAAGGCAATAGTATTCATAAATGTATACAAAAGCATTTGGAAAAATTAAGCGAAACGGTATACCCTGAATTCATTTGCCTTTACTCAAGCTCACCTTTCATGTCCAGTCTAGGGTCAAAACACGTCTTTTTCTTGACAGGGAGTGCACAACAGGCTGAAAAAAGACTGGCCTGGACCTTAGACTTATTCCGCGGTCCGGGAAACAAAGACCATCTGTGCGGTGCGTTGACTGACTGCTTGGAATCTTCCATGTTTTCGTAACTTCCTGCTCCTTTTGTTGAACCATGCACGCATGGATTGTGGGATGCAGGGCTGTGGGTGACACAGAACGTCCCGGCCTTCGAAGACTAGACTAGACCACACCACGGACATGTTTGTTGGAGAAACACATACCATACTCGACCCCTCGACCTGTGGTCGACTACCCCTGCCCGCCCCCTTTTTATAAGGTCCACTCCTTTGGAACCAGCATCTCCTCATCACCCCCTTTACAGCTTGGGTGCCAGAAGATGTTGGAACTCCTCCACTTTCTTCGCCATGTCCGGCGATGGATTCGTGAAGGCCTCAAAAGAGGGCGAGGTTGGACTGCCGACTGACGTTTTGAGGTCAAGGTCAAATCTCCATCTTTCAGAGATTCGTGGAGAGTTTTTTTGGGGTTGACCAGCCGGTGGCCCTTTTCTTTCACAGACTGAGAGATGGATGGAATGCATTCTGAATCGAAGGCAACGCATCGAGGTTCAAAAAACGTGAGTCCACAGACCCCAGTCACAGACAAGGAACAAAGGGCATCGCTACTAGGAGCAAGGACGCTACTAGGGGCTCCTGGCATCGCTACTAGGAGCAAGGACGCTACTAGGGGCTCCTGGCAGTAGGAGCAAGGATGCTACCAGGGGCTCCTGGCCTTACTACTAGGAGTAAGGATGCTACTAGGGGCTCCTGGCAGTAGGAGCAAGGATGCTACCAGGGGCTCCTGGCCTTACTACTAGGAGCAAGGATGCTACTAGGGGCTCCTGGCCTTACTACTAGGAGCAAGGACGCTACCAGGGTAGGCCTTACTACTAGGAGCAAGGATGCTACTAGGGGCTCCTGGCCTTA